CAGAAACAAAAGAAGGCAAGGAAGCGCACGTATATAGCTAGAAAGGGTATTCTATCAGGTGAAGAAGCAGCCGATCGTGCACAACCTGTACAGGAAGGGGCAGCAGAGGAGGCAGCAGAGCCACCGGCCGAGCGGCCACAGCGAGCAAAACCTAGGTGCAGCATGTGCGAATCAACAGAACACAATGCACGTACGTGCCCTAGGCGGCAGGCAGCTAGCTAGTATGTAGCTGCATCAAATATATTTGTTCGTGGTGGAGTAATTCGGAATATTTGGCCTCGGTAGCGTGGTTGGGTGGGCCACTAGCTTGTGCGGGCCACTAACTTGTGGATTACGTTATACGAATACGTGCTGACAAACAGCCGACTGAACCAATCAAGGTGAAGCTGAATCCTTGTCTTCAAGAGTCTGCCTTACACGATGTTTCAACGTAGCCTTCGTTTGGAATCACGGTTCGACTCGTTTGCAGCCATGGGAATCATCGTGGAAAACGCGCGTCCCGAAACCCCTAATGCGGCATGATTCAAGGGCATAAGACCCACGGAGAGGAGTCGACGCATGCAGTAGCAAAGCACACCGCGAGCGAGCTGCCGAATGCGTGATAGGCCGAAAGCGACAAGTGGAATGATAGAATGTCGTGTGGAAGAAAGCATGAGATCGATCACAGAACGCGGACTTTGCAGGCACTTGACAGAAGGATCAATTGGTGAAAGGAACAGAGTGACGAACACGCATCCAATGCGTGAAATATCGATAAACGCATATTTATGCACAGACAAAACACCAAATATTTTTTAATACCAAACTACTCGCAATGTAGACTAGGCCCGGAGTTTATTCCGCCGATACAAGCTTTGAACCTGCGGCGGGAATACGTTCTTGTTGAGTTTTCAATATTCTTCCAGAAACTACAGTTCAGAGGACATAATTCGCAACCTTCGCCGTCTCCACTAGATTATGAGGTAATACCGTTTATTGAAACATCATTCGTGTTCTGGAGCTTTCGACTCGATCGCAACGACGTCTCTGAGTGTGCTGGAGACTTACGCCCAATTGAAGCCACATATATAGCAGTTTCCATCGACTTGAAAACTGCAGGAGCTCTGTGGTCTTGCGGACGGGTCAGCAAACAGACCACTCGACGACCTGATTTCGTGTGACTCGACTTGCCATCTTCATACGGGCACAACTATTGTGGCATCTTGTAATTTCTTGCACCCACAAAACTGTCGAGTCGACATGTCTACCATCACTCTGGAGCATGAAGTACCGGGGGAATCCACCAGGACTATGGCGTCGGAACTCCACCTTGATCCCAATCTCACGCCCCAGGACTACCTCGTTCTCCGAAATTTGACCCAGTCGACTACGTTGGAGAAGACGGCAAACGGAGGCCAGAAATCGCAATCGAATGGCTACTCTAATGGTAACGCGAATGGGCATACGAAGGCACCGGTACAGCGTCAAATGAATGGCTACGCGAATGGAAATGGGCAATTGAACAGGATCCGCGCCGAGAAAGAGAATGGACCAGAGCAGAACTCGGATGAATTCACGATTGAAACCCTCCAATCCCTCAGCAACCCTTCTTCCGAAAATTTCGAACCCACCGTGACCGTAACATGGGATGTCCGATATATCAAAGCAGAGTACCCCGTTTTCTACCAAAATTTCCTTCAGCCGTACATCAAATGGGCTCGCAGCGTTGTCCGCGTAGACACCGACGTAGTCATGCTTACCCATCTTCTTCTCTACCTCACAACCTCGATTCCCAGCGCTTGGATGCTCTACTACCACTTCACCTGGGTCCATGGCGTGCTCCACTGGCTGATGCAGTCGTGGTATGTCGGCACATACACGCTTATGATGCACCAACATATCCACATGCGCGGAATCCTCGCAAAGAAATACTTTTGGATCGACTACGCCTTTCCTTACATTACGGATCCATTGATGGGGCACACGTGGAACTCGTACTTTTTCCATCATGTGAAGCACCACCATGTGGAAGGAAACGGGCCGGATGATCTCTCTTCCACGCTGCGCTACCAGCGCGATAGCGTTCCAGACTTCTTGCATTACGTCGGGCGTTTCTTCTTTTTCGTCTGGCTGGACCTACCGATCTATTTCTTTCGCAAGGGGAAGAACGGCATGGCGTGCAAAGTCATATTCTTCGAACTGGGGAACTACGCGACGCTGTTCTTTCTCTTCCGCTACATCAACACGCGTGCCACTGTCTTTGTGTTTCTGCTGCCGCTGCTGGTGATCCGGATCGGCTTGATGGTTGGGAACTGGGGCCAGCATGCGTTAGTGGACGACATAGACCCAAACTCGGATTTCAGATCTAGCATCACTCTCGTCGATGTTGCCGTAAGTCTGTTTCAGCTCTAACAAAGCCAATTGTCTTAGTTTTTTGGTAATGGAATTCTGACCCTTGTTGACTAGTCCAACCGCTTCTGCTACAACGACGGCTACCACACCTCGCACCACCTGAACCCGCTGCGCCACTGGCGCGAGCACCCCGTCTCCTTCATCAAGCAGAAAAAAACATACGCGAAAGAGCAAGCGCTCGTGTTTACGAATATCGATTATGTAATGATGACAATCAAGATCTTACAGAAGGACTATGCGTATCTGGCAAAGTGTATGGTGCCGATTGGGGATCAGGGAAGTATGAGCTTGGAGGAGAGGGCGGCGATGCTGAGACGGAAGACGAGGAGGTTTTCGGAACAAGAGATTGCGGCCAAGTTTGGGAAGAGGGCGCAGCAGTAGTGTATGATTCTCGAGGCATTGCTGAAGTTGTTTGGAAGGCATTTTTGGCTGATCAAAGGCTAGTGTACATATCGAAAAAGGTGAGCGAGAGTCCGAAGCTTGATTCTTACCCCGCATCTACCCTGTCACGCCTGTACAATACTAGCGTGCTATTTTGCCGCGTCGTGGGATGCGAGTGTGCGAGTACCTGGCCTTGCGCAGGGCCAGTCCACTAGCATCCTTCACACTTCCCTTCCATCGCGCTCTTCAGTTCCCAATGCCCAGTCACCATCGGCAGTGTCCTCCAATTGCCCAGTTGGAATTAATTTTCTGCATATTCACCCACAGAGCTTCCCCTCCGCTATCTTGAGCTTATCTCCCCCCCCTGGCCCCAGCTCCTGCAGCATGACGACCGGATCTGACCGTGAACATGCGAGCTTCCTCATCCAGCCAAGACCACCACCACTAACCCGCCCGCAAGGTGCTAGAAGCATGGCCACACGAGAGAACTCACGCCGGCCATCCCGGATACCGGGATAACAGCCTGCGATGGGTCGATGCCCGCACGTCAGGTTCCCAAGCTCGACGGAGCTACCCTTGCCCAGCTTGCTTAAATGCTTGCTTCCCCGTACCTGATTCTTTCTCTGTACCTGCAGCTCTGTCCTCTGATCATGGCTCGTCAATTGCTGCTGCCAGCGCTCTGTGCGGCTCTGTTTTCGCTACTCAATTGCGTTGGTGTTGAAGGCAAGCTGTACAGCAACCATGTAGACCAGACGGAGCGGTTTGCGAAGCGCACGCAGCCTACGCGGCGTGGAATAGAGTCGAGGACTACGAATACCTCCAGCTTCCGCTATCTGACGGATGCTACCTCTGGTGAGCATTCCCAGCTGCATTGTTACCGCCCTCCTCAACAAGCTCTAACACACCGCAGAATACCGCGTCGCTTCGCTCCCCGACATCGACATCGACGTTGGCGAGTTGTATAGCGGCATGATGCCTGTGGATGAGTCCGATCCTGATAGCGCCATGTTCTTCTTCTTCGAGCCGCGCATAGGCGGCGATCCGGTAGACGAGATCACTATCTGGCTGAATGGCGGACCTGGCTGCTCGTCCTTGGAGGGCTTCTTGCAAGAAACCGGCACCTTCATCTGGTCGTGGGGAATGGCGAATGCACAGCAGAATATGTATGCCTGGGCCAACCTGACGAACATGCTATGGTAAGCTCAGATTGAGGAAGAAGTCTCAGCTCAACCCAAGCTGATCCAATCTAGGGTTGAATACCCCCTCGGAGTCGGATTCTCAGCCAACTACACCCCCGTAGCTACGTCCGAAGAAGAAATTGCCGCCGACTTCCTCAAGTTCTTCAAGAACTTCCAAACCAAATTCGGCATCAAGAACTACAAGATATTCGTCACCGGCGAATCCTACGCTGGCCGCTACGTGCCCTACATCGCCGACGCCATGATTGAAGCCAATGACCCTTGCTACTATAACCTCTCGGGCATCCTCATCTACGACCCCACCATTGGCCAGCTCGACCGCCAGGAGACTGCCATCCCAATCGTGCCCTTTGTCGAAGACCATGCCAAGTTCTTCAACTTCAACAAAACTTACATGGATCATCTTTCATATGCCTACGAGAGCTGCGGCTACCGCAACTACACGGACACCTACCTCACCTACCCCGCCTCAGGCGTCCAGCCCTCCTTCGAACCCAACACCACCGCCGACGGCTGCGACCTCTGGAACGAAGTCTACAAGGAGGCGTACCGCATAAACCCCTGCTTCAACGTCTACGAAATCAGCCTCATGTGCCCGCTCCCCTCGGATCCTCTCGGCTTCCCATCGGATCTTGTGTATCTGTACCCTGCGTTTGGTGACTATGCCTACTTCGACCGCCCCGACGTCAAGGCCGCGATCCACGCCCCGGAGAGCGTCACCTGGAGTGAGTGCAACGGCCTGGCCTTCAACGGCTCCGGGGGCCCAGCCGGCTACGGCGACCTCTCGGCCGACCCCCTGCAGCACGTCCTCCCGCGCGTCATTGAGACCACCAACCGCGTGCTCATTGCGGGCGGCGACTACGACATGGAGTTGCCCGTCGTCGGTACCTTGCTGGGCATCCAGAACATGACGTGGAATGGCGCGTTGGGATTCGTGGCGCGACCGTCGAAGCCGATCGATATCAAGTTGCCGGATCTGCAGTACGCGCAGGTGTATGTGGACAGTGGCTTTGAAGGATGGGATGGGCCGGGACAGGGCATTATGGGGGTGCAGCATTATGAGCGCGGGCTGATGTGGGCCGAGACGTACCAGAGTGGGCATATGCAGCCGCAGTTTCAGCCGCGGACGACCTATCGGCATCTGTCGTGGGTCTTGGGGCGAATTGAGGTGTTGTAAGTATGAGTTGAGTCTAGTGACGTTTATGTGTTACGGTCGCCTCAATCATTTCAAGGGAAGCGGAATTCATACCTACTTTCCATGATCCTACATCTTCTACAGAGCCAGGTCCCCCATTGTCCTATGCAGCAACGTCAGACAGCGCCGGTCCAACTACCATACCCACCATGCCTCCCAATAATCCTACAGCCTCCTTCATGTCCCACTAGCGATAATACAAACCCCATCAACCATCCCCAAGCCACCAAATCCCGGATCCCTCCATCTCCCCACCTTCTCATCCTACCCTCCAACTCAAGACCCCTCCACGCATCAGTTACCATGACCTCTACTTACCCTCCCTCTCACGCGACCTCTCCTCCCTCTCACACAACTTCTCCTCCCTCTGCCTCAACCTTGCCTCCCACTGCCTCAATCTCTCCTCCCACTGCCTCAACTGCCTCTCCTTCTCCCCAATCAGGCGCTGGCGCCTTTCTAGTGGTTCTTCATCGCGGCGCAGCTGCTGATGGTGGTGCAGGCCTAGCGGGTGGTGTTGATACGGGCTCACCTGGCTGCCGAAGTGCTGAGCTAGATGCGGTGGATGATGCGGCGGAGAAGAGTACTGGCCTGGATATCTACCGAACGGTGGTGGGGGGTGCTGATACGCATTCGGCGGGCTACCGGAGTGCTGCGGAGGCGAGTAAGGGCTCTGCAGTGATACGTAAGCATGAGGGGGGCTATTGAAGTACTGCGTTGGCTGCGCAAAGTGAGACCGCGGGGGAGATAAGGGGCCGTGATATCGCTGGGGGTGGTGCTGATACAGCTACGACGCGTGAGGGGGACCACCGACATGCTGAGCCTGCTGCAGCTGCTGAACCGTCTGGTACAGATTCGGCATCTGCGGCTGCTGCGGTGGGGCGGGATACACATGCGAAGTTGATTGGCTTGGGGAACCGACTGGCGATGGGGGATGTTAGCCTGTCTAAGGGTATGTGGGAATAGTTAGGGGGTGGCTCTTACACTGCCCATCCCCAGCCCGCCGGTTCGCAATTGCCGGCCGCTCTTTCTTCAGCTCGCGCCTTGCGAGGCCGAGGTCGAAGTCTTTTGGGGGTGGTGCGTTGAAGCCCGTGTCCCAGTGTGCGAATTGGCACTCGTCGGCGCTGTACTTGCAGCCGTCTTTGCGCGTGCGCCAGAAGAAGCAGGTCAGGGGCTCGACGGTGAAGTACTTGGGGAGGTTGAGGTCGAGGAAAGGGGACGGCTGGAAAGGGTGGGTGGTGAGAGGGAAGGGCTGGTAGGGGACGTTGGCGCCGTGCTGGACTGCTATGGGCCGGGGTTGTTGTGGAAGGGGGTGGTTTGGGCGGCGGAACCCGGGGTAGTAGTCGAGTGGACGATAGTCACTGGGGTTGGGTCTGGTCTGTGAAGGGTACTGGCGATTGTTAGGATCTGCTGGCATTGGCGTCATGGCAATCTGATACCCCAAGGTCGTCGTCGTCGGCGTGAAGGCGCTCTGATATCCCTCACTCATTAGCCGTGTCGGTGCAGATTCATTGTCCGTATGCATACTCGGCGCCTTCGTCGTGAAACTATCCTGTCCATGCGAGCTCAGCGCTGCATGAACTTCCGGGGAGGAAGTGTCCTCCATCGCCCGCGAATCCTCCTGCCCCAAGAGCGACTCCGGCCTCGATGGAGTTGACCACTCCCTCGTCAGCAGCGGCTCGGAGCGCGGCTTGAAGCTGTCGACGCTAGAGGGACGCGAGAGGCGGCCGTAGGACATGTCGATGTCGTCAATGTCGGCGGCAGAGCCAGTGTGGCGCAGGCGTTTGCTGCCGCGGCGGGGGGTGAAAGCGTTTTCGGACATACTGCAGAGCTTTGGAGTTCGCGATGAGGTACGTGTAGTGCTGTTGTAGTCAGACTAAGCGTTGAACAGTCTAGCGGAATGCAAACAGGTAAGAGTAAGAGGGATTGGAGGAAAGTGGAAGATGTTTCGGCCCGTTGCTATGGAAGAGCAAACAGACGTGTCTAGCCGAAAGCGGTCACGGGGTTGGAGGCGGATCAACGGGTGGAGAAGGCTTTCTGCGGTGATCGGGGATTATCGATCTGAGGCCGGATCCGCAGGATACCATGAGGCACCGCAAGCAGTGGCAGAAGAGTGTGCACCAAGTAAATGAGATAGGCGCGGGAATGAAAGGAGTTCGATGACCTGATACAGTGACTTGCCATAGATATCCATACACTTTACTGCCACTGCCTGTGGGGCTTCGACATACTGATAGAAACCTGGGGCGGTGCATACTTTTCCGATCTGTGTACACCATGTTGACGCTGTCTGGGGTAGCCTCGCGAGTTTACCATCTGTCCAAAATGGTCTTATTCGGAATGCTGAAAATATAACGAAGCCCCTCATGCAGCGGTAAACGAGTGTACAGGTTTCTAGGACGAGGCATTGTACCTTGCCAGGCCACTTCAGACGGTGGTATAGATGTACACAATTGAAATACCAACACCAGTGAAAAGAACGCTGTGAGCACAGTTTGTCCCATTAGAGCCTACCAAAGAAGCCTAAGCGTCTGTCGATGATGAAGACTTCAAGGCCTGCACCCTCCTGGGTAGAGAGGGCTTGTGTGGAGTATCGACCACCCCCGCCGGCTTCCTGGTGTTCTCAGCCGCCTCCGGCACTTCACCCTCAGTCACCTTAGGCACTTCACTTTCCGTAGCCCTCTTGGTATAGAGTTCCGCCAGATCTTCGCTGTCGCTCTAATTTATCGTGAGCTGTCGTTCAGCGCGGACTTTCGCGACTTCGTTTTCTACCATCCCAGAATCCCACCACGGTAACATCCTTTCCACCTCCCGAGGCTCGCGTTTCAGTTCTAGGCTTTCCATCACCCTTTTCGAGGACATGAGGGACACATCTTTCTTCTCATCATCGCCCATTCTTTTCCAATAGTATTCGCAGAGCAACGCCAAGATCTGCACCTGCGTCGACGTGTACGTCCGTAGCGGGAAGATGGGACGCCAAATACTCCAAACCGTTTCAGAACCTCCTTTCTTGACCTCCAGCTTATGGCTCGCATGGATTGCTGTGTATTTCCATTGCTTTATCTTGTCGGACGTCACTGGTAACGGCGGCACCGCTGACAAGCCTCGTTCGGCGCAGTCTCCTAAGCTGAACAACTCTCTCCGCGACTGATCCTTGTACATGTTCTTTCGCAATGCGCATTCCATCAGTTGAATATCCATGACGCCTTGAAGGGTTATGCCGAAGTGTTTGTAAAAGGCGTTGGAAGCTTTGCGGACGTCGAAAAAGCCTTTCGGGATGGCGGGGTTTTCAAGGAGACCTTTGATCGTGGTACCATCTGTACCGGGGCGTATGAGGATGTCAGGACCGTCGACAAATATGGTAGCTAGGTGGTTCTTTGTAGGCATGAAGATAATTAGGACGCAAATAGCCTTAATGCAGTACTCGGTGCCTTGGACATCGACGATGAGCTGTGGTCCTTGGATCCGCGCCTGGGTGATGAAGTCGACAAGCTTGGAAGACGCTTCTTGGTCACGAACGTTGCTGGTCTGAATCATGATTGTCGAATGGATTGCCGTGATGTTTGATTCAGTGGGCAAATAGAGATGATGAATAAGGGTAAGCGAAGTAGTGGCTCGGATAGCGATCCGAAGCCTTGATAGCGAGTGGGTCCTTGGTTAGCGATTGAAAGCCTAGGCAACAATTGGAAGCTTGGAATAGCGATTGGGGGATGATCGATGATGAGGTTGAAGATGGCGAGGAAAGGCAGAGGCGGCAGATAGACAGTGCGGTCTCGGCTGCATGATTTCGGCAGGCAGTAACCTTCTAGAGCTCCAAAGGAAGGCAGCAGGCTACGAGAGTGACTGTGCTTTGGAGCAGGAACGATGCAAAGCTGCGGCCGTAAGGTTCCGCGCATTTGTCTGCCACTGCCTTTGGTTCGTCAATGGTGCATCAGTAATTTTCCCAAGTGGTAAACGGCGCTATCGTCTCTGTTACAACGCTTCTACTTCATAGATTTGTGTACACTTGTTGGTCGCTACTTGAGGTGCCTGGGTGCATGTTAAGAGTTCCAGAATGCGTAGCTGGAGCAGTCAGTAGGCCTGCTGGGCCACCTCAGGTAGTCACCGAAGCAGGTATATTATTGGGAATGTGGTTCGTCATTTCCAGATTTATAGGATGTCTTAGAGCAGTGAACTCTCGGGCATCTTTCAAATCCGTCTGTTAAGAAGTCAGCACCAAGTCGTCAAATTCTGGATATGCAGCCTAAGCGCAAAGTTCAATTGCTCAAGAAGCGTACTTTTGCAGGTAGATGCACTCAATAGTCAATCCACGCCTCTTTATTGAGCTCTGGAAGCCCAGCAAGTCTCGATGTCCTAATAAGATTCTTGAAGCCTAGAGAGATAGCTCTCCGGGGGACTATTGGACGGAGGTTGCAAGAAGTACCCTGTTTGCCTCGTAGCGAACCTTAGTAGCGAACGCTTCATCTACCTTTTCCATTACCCGAACCTCTAATATTCAAGATGAAAAAAATAAAAAGGTTTTTTGTGACACGTATTTATCATTGGGAAGATCTTGTACACAGGAGTCCTTTATTTGGGACGCTGCGAGCTTATGAAAGGTGTGTGCGCTGAGAAGACTGCCTTACAAAAACCGGCCCAATTTCTACTCACTAGGATATCCGCAAATGAAGGATGAGAGATTGAATCCCGAATATGCTAGGCTAGTGTCCCTCGAGGCTTTCGGGAGGTAGAGTGATGAGGAAGATGAAACGAAGAGGGTTCCCATCCGAGGTCGGAACGGGACGCAAGCGGCCCGACGTCTGAGGTCTTCAATGTCACAACAACGAGACCTGTCATCATATATCACCAAATTCACTGCGGAACCTTCGTTTACGACCTGTCGGAATCGCACCATTATCATATGCCGTCCAGGCGTGTTCGAGCGTGACGCCGAGGGTACTATTGTCGTCTAGAAGTCGACCTGAAGTCGTCTCATACAGGAAGTCGACTCCGCAATATTGGAATGCACAGCACTGCCCCAGAGGCACAGCTCGTATTCTATAGTATATGTACAATAGTCCGGGTATCCCCACGTAGAGATCTACCATCTGCCGAGGCCACGTCGAATTAGATCGCGTGTAGGTGGAGCATTTGGAGTGCATCTCCGCGATCCCCAGCATTCACATGGGCTGCGATTCAGTACGTACAGCATTCACGTGCTTTGACAGGGAAAGCTTCAATTTGCATCGGGGATATACCCCTTCAACCAGCTGCCGACGCCTGCAATTTCCGAGTCTCCAGCAAGACCATAGCCGGCGGTTGCGCCCCTGCATCGAGCCTCGCTCCGCCAGCCTCTCACGCTGATCGTACATTTTCCAGGAGAGTGCATTAGCTGTTCCGAACCCACGGCTATGGTTTTTCCAAGGGATACGCGGAGATGGAATTTGTGCAGGCTTGATATTCTTCTAGCATCGGCATAATGTCAAGCGGAAACTCGCGCTGAACATGTGAGCTTGCCCACCTGATTCATAGCCTAGCTGTATGTATATCAGCAACGCGCAGCCTAGAAATAAGTACCTTCCGAAGATCATCACTAGTTTCCATCAATTCTAGTGTCTCGCCATGAGTTCATTGGCGTTTTCTTTCGCTTTGGCATTGCTTTCCCTTGTTCCTGGCGTTCTCTCAGGTTCCTATGGAATCCCTTTTGTTCCTGCGACATATGACTATGTTGTCGTCGGCGGTGGAACCTCAGGTCTTACCCTAGCTGCAAGACTAGCTGCTAATTCCTCCATTTTGGTCGCTGTCGTGGAAGCTGGCGGATCCTACGAGACTCTGAACCCACTCAGCGACATTCCAGGTTTTGCTGCAATTCAAGCAACAGGAACGGATCCATCTGATACAGATGTGATCGACTGGGGATTCGTGACGACACCTCAAGCTGTATGAAATGCGTTCTACAACCATGATGTTTTCGGTTTTACTGAGAATCTTTAGGGCGCTGCGAATCGAAAGATGCATTATGCTCGGGGCAAGTGTCTGGGTGGAAGCTCTGCACGCCATTTCCTGGTCTATCATAGGTAATCAAGATTTCAACTTCTACTCTAAATGTATGATGGTGAATCCTTAGGCTGCTCTTATCTCACTTAATCATTTATACTTGGTCTTTCGTTCATCGTGAACCCCAATTTCATGCTAATTGAATTCAGAGGTACGAAAGGTTCATATCAGAAATGGGCGGACCAAGTTGGAGATGACAGCTACGCTTGGGACAACTTCCTCCCATACTTTGAGAAGAGCTGCACGCTCACGCCTCCGAACACCACCAAGCGATTCGCGAATGCCACCGTAACGTACGATGCCAACGTATTCGACAACTCCTTAGGCGGTCCCCTCCAGATTTCTTGGCCAAACTGGGCATCTCCACTATCATCATGGGTTGAAATTGGTCTCGCAGCAATTGGCGTCAAATCAGGCAACGACCACAATAGCGGGAGTCTGACCGGATCATCTTGGATCGCGAGCACGATCAATCCCAATGGCGAAGCACGCGACTCCTCAGAGACAAGCTTTCTCAAGCAAGCGATGGCGAATACCAATATCACAGTCTACAGTCTTACTATGGCCAAGAAGATTCTTTTCAAGAGCACCAACATCGCCAGCGGCGTACAGGTCGAGCAAGCCGGTGCCAAATGGACGCTCACCGCTCGCAAGGAAGTCATCATCTCCGCCGGTGCTTTCCAATCGCCCCAGCTTCTCATGGTCTCTGGAATCGGACCGCGCGCAACACTCGAAGGGCTTGGTATCCCCGTCATCTCAGAGCTTGCTGGTGTCGGCCAAAACATGTGGGACCACGTCTTCTTCGGCACCGTCAGTCGCATTGGCGTCACGACGGCGTCTCGCCTTACCAACGACGTTGCCTACGCCGCGCAGGCCGTTGTCGACTACGCCTCCGGCACCGGTCTGCTGACTGCGAACGGCGTCGGAGTCATTGGCTGGGAAAAGCTTCCTGACAGCGTACGCAGCGGCCTCAGCAGTGATACAATAACCGCATTGAACACGTTCCCCTCCGACTGGCCCGAAGTCGAGTATATGGCGTTAGACGGCGTCCTCGGATACTGGCGTAACGCGCTGAACCAGTTTGTCGACAGCTCTCAGTACGGCTCTGTCGGCGCAGCTCTCGTCGCGCCTCTCTCTCGCGGGAACGTCACCATCACCAGCACAGATACAAAAATCGCGCCTGTCATCAACCCGAACTGGCTCACCCACCCCGCAGACGTCGAAGTCGCCCTTGCGGCCTTCAAGCGCACGCGCGAGGTGTGGGATAACGTGGCCGTTCGCGGGACCGAGTATCTCCCCGGCTCAAATGTGACAAGCGATGCGGATCTTCTTGATTTCATCCGTAACAGCGCTCTTCAGGTCTGGCATGCGTCTGCAACGTGTGCGATGGGGAAGTCTGGGGATCCGAAGGCTGTGGTTGATTCGACTGCGAAGGTGTTTGGGGTTAAGGGATTGCGGGTGGTAGATGCGAGTATATTTCCGCTGCTGCCACCGGGACATCCGCAGAGCACGTGTTATGCACTTGGGGAGAAGATCGCGGATGATATTTTGAAGGGGCGGTGAGGGATTGCTGGTGTGATGGGAAGGGATATAAATCTTTTTTTTACATACCTGGTGCCTCGAGCTGAGGGCTGAGCTAAACTACAGGGAGAGCGGCTCCGTCAGGCGGAAGCGGCTTCGTCGACTGCCCGACCGAAACTCAGCTTTAAGTCCTTTCAGACTGCTCCTGCGTTGTCTTGTCTATTCCATCTTATCTGAATTCCTGAAAACACAACAAAGGACCTCAGACAGTGGTACGGAGGAGTGCACAAACCTTTGTCTAGGCACTGCATCGCGGGATCGACGAGAAAGTTGAACGTTGATCGCCCTCGGACCTTTTACCTCGCAATGCTGCCCATACATGCCAGATAACGCATTAGCGGATCCTAAGTGGTGTTAAAAAAGTGTACAGAGGGCTATCTTAGCAATGTTGAATAGACGTTATTGTGAAAATCTTAATGACAAATATTGGAGAAGCTTCGGCGACTATCGGAATTGCCGACATGGGCTTCAAAGCCTTCAACGCCTTGTACCAGTATATCAAGGATATGCAAGATGTGCCACAGCAAGTTGGAGATTTTCGGACTGAACTGGAGAGACTAGGCCCTCAATGATCGCAACGCCGCTTGCAAGAGCCTCAAAGCGAACTTTGAGCCGTAATGAAGAGAGGTGTAGGCAATTGACGAAGCAGGTTGCCCATCCGCCATAATGAGGCAAAGATCGAACGACATGTCTCCCAGATAAGGAAAACGCAAAATATGCTTCAGTTGGCTCTCAGCATTCTCACAGTGTGGGGCAGCGCTTGCAAAATACAGTTTCATGAGAAGGAGAAGAATGCTAACGGAACGGCTAGAAAATTCATGTGGCGCCATGACTCGCATAAATTCGAGCCCAAAAAAGCTACAGAAATGGCCCATATAGAACCATAACTACGTGGAAAGACGAAGTGCAGACAGAGCGGGAAGCCGTCCTAGCAGAAGCTGAGGAGGTGGATGAGAACGTGGATCTTGATCCCGAAACTGCGGATGCAATCGTCAAAGAGCTTCGCTTGCAAGCTGAAATCTGCGCCGAATTTGTGGCTGCATCTGACTGAGTGTCAGGAAAATTGAAGTCTATCCAACTGGACCAGCAAATTGGTAACGCCAACAAGGGGAAAGGCGCAGTTTCGCATGTGGGCATGCCAAAGAGTGTGCTGGAGCAGGATCTTGTGAGCAGGCAGTATATCGGAGATGTAACGGTGGGGGATGAGAGCAGGTCTGAGGTTGGAATCTGGTGAGGGGTGATGGATGATGGGTGTTGGACAGTGGATGGACGAAATCTGGACTAGAAACTAGATCACACGTGATATTTCATTTGAGAGCTTCAGCTTACACACCTCATCGCCTCTTCCGCTATGGTAGTGCCTTCACAACATTTGAACGACTTAATGAGCTCTCCTTTTAGGCTTTTATGATGTCACGTGCCATCTATGTACGAAATCACATTCAAAAGTTTAGATTTTGGAACTGGTTTTGCCAGTCCTACCAAAAATACCTCGAGCAATCTGTTGTATATTGCCGCTATCAACGACGCCCAATTAAAGTACTCAGAAATCAAACGATTATGACCAACTCATCGAAACATCCCTTGCGGCACTCTACTCTCTTAAACGCACAAATAATACACATTAAGCACGAATACAACATTACAAAGCCATAACGCATCTCCCTCCTCAACACTGCACAATTACAATCATATATACCCGCTCACTAAAACTCCCCATTGAGTCACGAACCCCCTCAAGTCTCAACTAAAGTTGGCCTTTTCACAACCAGACTCCGGCTCCTCTCCAACTTCAGCGCCTCAAAACCACCCGAGACCCTCCCCACCAGAGTCGGGCCCACGATATTCTGCGTCGTCCGCCGCACGACCATAGAACTACTCCTCAGCCTCCCATAGACCGGTCTCGGCGCCGGTCTCACCGTGACACTCGAACTCCTAAGTCTCGTACCATCGGCTGGCTCCAGGTACCGTTCCAAATCCATGTTGACTTTCTTGTTTTGGGACAGTGCGGATTCAATTTCCTTAGCGTGGCTGTCTTTCAGCACGCGGCGGAGGATTTTACCAGAGGTGGATTTCGGGATCTGGGACATGAAACGTATGCCCCCGCGCAGGCGTTTGTGGTTTGCGACGCGCGCAGTGAGCCAGTCGCTGATACGGGTGGCGCTTTCCGGGGAAGGTGGGAGAGTGGGCTTGAGGACGATGTAGGCACGGGGGACCTAGACGTGTGAGCTTTCGATAGAAAAGAGGAGAAGAGGAGGAAGGGGAGAATAATCAGGGGACATACCTCAGTCGCGCGCTCTTCCTCGTAGATACCAATCACAGCCACATCCTCGACATCCTCGTTTCCAAGGAGGATGCCCTCCAGTTCTGCGGGCGGGACCTGGAAGCCTTTGTATTTGATAAGTTCCTTAACGCGGTCTGTGATATAGAAGTTCCCATCTTTATCTTGATGCCCGACATCGCCAGTTTTGAAGTAGCCATCGCGAGTGAACGCGTTCTTGGTGCTGCCTGGATTATTGAGATACCCTTGGAACACGTTCGGCCCCTTGATGCAGAGTTCGCCAGTTTGTCCAAACGGCACTTCGATCTCGAAATCATCAATATACTTAGCCGTCTGATTCGGTAGGAGCCGTCCCACCGACCCAATATGCACGTGCCAATCCTCCCACCTTTGCGTATGCGTGGTGGGACTCGTCTCGCTGAGGCCATAGCCCTGTTTGATTGGAACCCCGAGACGCTTGTAGACGGCGTCGGTAAGGTCCTTTGTCAAAGGAGCAGCACCGGACTTCAGCATGCGCAGGCTGGAGAGGTCGTACTTGTCGACGACGGGGGATTTGCCGAGCATAAGAATCACGGGGGGAACTGCGTACGTGTAGGTGATTTTGTGGGCTTGGACGTGCTGGCAGAAGCGATCAAGGTCGAATTTGGCCATGACGACGAGCTCGAGGCCGGAGTAGAGGCTGTGGTGGATTAGGCAGGTTAGGCCCTGGGATTTATTAGGTCATGAGTTCCACCTGATTTGCACACGGGATTGCAAGGGAATAGAGTTGATGGGAGTAGTCTTACGTATATGTGAAAGAACGGGACGAAGGCTAGGATTTTATCCCCGCCGTTGTTGAATCCACCGGTCCAGCTGAGGTTCTTTCCCTCGCCAACTTGGTTCATCATGGTGTTGGCGACTATATTCTCGTGTGAGAGCATGACGCCTTTAGGGAGTCTATCTTGTTGTCAAATCAGCGACCGTGTAGATATATCGCAAACTTCTTAAACGGCAAATTCGCGATCGCGACAGTCATTTGCATCGCGAGAAGCTCAGAGACAAGCATCCAATTCCAAAAAGCAACTCACCCCGTGGTACCAGAGCTGTATACCAAAAACACCAAGTCCTTCTTAGGATTGATCTTGCATTTTCGATAACGATTCATACCCCTGGTGCACCTGATGTCCACGAAGTGCTTGATGCGGCCGGTCTCATCTCTCTCATCGCCCATCAAGACGACCCTATTTTCCGAGATCCCTGCCTTTCTTGCTGCTGCACATGCCTGCTTAAGGAACGGCTTCTGAGTGACTATAGCACTAGCTTTTGAGTCGTGAAGCTGGAATGCCAATTCATCGACAGTATATCCCGGATTCGCAGGCGTCAGGATGCCACCGGCCCAATGCACACCCCATGTTACAGCGGGAGTGTCGATGCAATTGGGAGTGTACAAAGCGAGGACGTCCCCCTTTTTCCAGCGCCACTGGGCTTTAAGCCCCCTCCCAAAAGTGATGGCTGCATCGCGGGTTTGGGCGTACGTGTAGAAGCGGGAGGTTTCAGGATCGCGGTAGATGACTGTTGAGTGGTCGCGTGAGCCGGTGTCCAAACGAACAGAGAAGCGAGCGTTTTACCCTTATCATCCGGAAAAGGCTTGTCCTTGCGATTGAAAAGAAAGCCCCACAGATCGAGATTTGGGATGTCAATGGTTGGATAAGTGGATTCGGTAGGCATAGTCGCGGTACAGTGCGAATCGAGCAGTAAATCCGACGGCAAATCTGGTACAGAGAAGGAAACCGCAGGACGAGCGGAGAATACAATCGACAGACAAGACCCATATCTATTTACTCCCAGCTCGAGAGTCTTCTGGACATGGGCCGTCCCAGGAACGGCAGCATGGATGGATGGGGACGTCAAGCTTTCAGAGCACTCCTGGCGGCCGACTGAATTTGCATCTGATGGTGGCTCGTCTCATAGGTGATCGGCACGGTCCGAGTGGTTCGAGTGGTGTGCCGTGGGTGGAAGACGTCAGGCAGGTCCCCACGCGCGACCGCTATGTGGGACACCAGGGCGGCCGATGCATGGTTGCGCATGGAACCACGCGTCCGGACATGTGGCCGGCGTGCTGCTGTTTGCTGGCGAGAAGCGTTGAGTATTGTTTTGCAAGGGACGGCCCGGGACGGCCCATGAAGACCCGTGGTCTGGAGGAGTTGTCTCCTGATTTCCCTCAGGAGCTAGAAATGGATTGCCATCACCACCAGCCTCTCCTTGCACTGCAGCAACAGCAGCAGCACCACGTTCTGGATAAAAACTGCAGGTCGAGCCTGGTAAACAGCCCACGAGTACCACGAATGCATGAGCGGGTTCCTACAGCGCGGCTTCAGGGTAGAAGAAATCGACTAGGCACCTTCAACACCACCAATTCTCGTGATAGCACAGCCGATCGCCTCATATCAAGGCTCTGTTAGCCAGCGGCATGCCCAGGCTTAGCTTCAGCTGTCAGATGCGAAATGCTCAGCGCTGTGGCGCCACCAATTTATTGCAGGTTGCCGATTTTCCCGGGCTTGTCTATCGACCTACCGCGACGTCTCGGCTCCTCAGCGATCTAACGTATTGTAGGTGATGGGGTTATCCGCCCCACGGACTAATGAGCGCACGCTCATTAGTCTGTGGGGTGGATAACCCGCGGAGGTAGTTATTGAGGCTAAGCCGATGTAGCTTAGTGCCGCGAACACCAAAATCTTGTATGACACCAGCATTTTCACACACGATCACGCAGAATAACACTGAAAGAAGGAATATTCACGGTTTTTAAAGCTCTACGTTTGTATGGAGCTTCCGTGTATAGCAAATAACTTGGTGGAGTAGTTATACGTTGTTGTCCTTGCTCTCCATGCTGCTATGGCTCTCTACCGCGTCCTTATCACTACTGCTACCACCCTTTGCCTGCTTAGCGGCCTTAGCAGCTCGTGCAGCAGCATCTAGCTCGCTAACTCGCTGCTTAGCAATAGCTAACTGCTGCTCGGCATGCTCAAGCGCACCTAATTGCTGCTGCGCGGCGTGTTCCGTTTCCTTAGCTCGTAGGGCCCCAGCAACTGCCTCTGTAGTTTGCTTCGCACGTGCTATTTTATCTGCTGCTTTATAGGGCCTCTCTGCCTGCGTAGCAGCTTTGCCTGCTTTACCTGATGAGCGTTTGGCAGCGGCCTGTAATTCTCGTGCAGTCTTAGCGATAGCTCGAGCGTCCTTCCTTAGCTGTAGTTGAACGGCTTCTTCGTCCTTTTCAAGCTGCTTGATAGCGCTAGCAGCTTTCTTAGCTGCTTTTGCAGCAGCTGCAGCGTCTGCTGTTGCCTGCTTTGCTGCCTCTAAAGCGAGAATTGCATTAGCTATAAGAACTGCTTCTGTAGAAATCTTCACCCGTTTTATAAGCTTCCTTGCCCTCCGCTTACTTGTATGATGGCGCAAATCCGTATTTTTGTAAGGCTAACAGGGCATGTTGGTTGTTAAATTTAAACGCGTGAAAACGCATCTAGCATCGCGACTTTATGGTGTCACAGTGTATGAGGGTTGGTGATGAGCGAGGGGTTGATTTTCCTCGCTTAGAAGAGCGCTAACTACGTACGGAAGGTCTATGCACTAGCCTCAATAACTACCTCCGCCGCAATAACCCCATCACCTACGGTGCTACGTTACTACTATGTAGGATAAACGAGAGACCTTCAACGAGGTCCTCTATCGCTCTTGTTTTGAAGCCAATCTTTATTTCCATTCTTATTTCCGCGTCATGCGTAGACACTGCCTATCCTATCGCCCTCTCAGCTCCATCTCCCACTTGTCGTGCCTACCTACCGTACCTACTACTCGCAATGAGCTTTGACACAGTCCACCTGTGTATTCGCAGTCGTATGGCGCACTCCAGATCTCATCGCTGTGAAGAGTGGCGAGGAATCTTGAGGAGAGATTTGCATACAATGTGGACCACTCCCGCCGCTTTCGCTTTCGCTCACTCGCCACCCAAGTGAAATGGTGAAGGCTACGTAACGTATTCCACAAGCGAGCCGTCCACCCAAGCGAGCCGTCCACTTCATCACAAAAACGCGACGCGTCAACTTCCAACCACCATGCGTCGACAACACAACGTGCAATCAATACAAAATGAAGGTCGAATATGCATGGCTATC